TCTTCCCCGCCCGGCTGCCCGGCAGAGCTCTTCCCCTCCCCTCCCGGCCTGGCTGCCCTCGCCCCGAGCGCGAGTGCTCTGGCCTCGCTGGGTGTCCGCCCGGTTTCCCGAGTGCCTGTCGCTGGCGCTGCAGGGCGGGCTGTGCCGGGCGCCGTGCCCGCCTACACGAGCGTCGGGCTGCTTGGGGTTCGGCCGCCGGTGTGCGCGGGGCAGCGCTGGGCGGGCCCGCTCCGTCGGGGGAGCCAGGCCCCAGGGTAGCTCCTTAACGTGCTCTGCAGTCGTTCTAAAGAGAAACAGCCGCTGCTCCGTCGCGCTGAGGGACGCCAAAGCAAAACTCCCTCGGGTGTCGCTCCTCCTGCTAAGGCTGGTGGCTCCTTTGGAGAAATAGTGAAGAGGCGGGCAACGCCACGTGTGCATTTGGTAACTAGATAAAGCTGGTGCCCTCTGGATGCGCTTCCTTCTTGGCTGGCGTTCAGGTGAGCCGAGGAAGCCAGATCAAGACAGCAAACGGAAATCATCCTGTGCGGGTCCGTGACAGTAAACTGTCCTTTTTAGGTACACTTCAGTCTTACAGCTCAAGGGTGCTTCTGAATTCCCAGTTACTGCTGGAGTTTCAGAGAGCGTTATGTCCACAGGTGCTGTTTACTTCCAGTACTGGAAGGGAGTTACAGTGTGGAAACACAGACCTGGATGAATAATTAGGCCTGGATCTTCTGTAATAAACTACTCCGCGGTAAGGGAGCAGGCACAAGAACACCCTTCCAAGCTAGGTGCCCACAGGCACTTTATGGATCCTGGCTGCTAGGTGGTGCCCCTTTCTGGTTTGAATGAAGCAAATGGCTGTCTATCCCAGAGGAAATGAGCTAGGGAAGTGGATATGACCACTGTGCCTCATACAAGGCTCACCTTAAGCCAGTGTGAGTTTGTGTGTCCTGGATCCTTTGCTACCGAGTAAAGTCAGTTTTCTCCATAGTAAAAATTGTGTGTTTATTCTCATACAGATCTTGCTATGCTTCTCTCTGCCTCTCTGACTTCCAGATGTGAACTTGGGGTATATGGGGGCTACCCCTGAAGGTATTTCAGAAGGTCAAGAGGTTTAAATTTTTAGGTCTTCATAAGAGGGAGCATGCTATGTTAAGTAAGCTACATATTGCACCAGCTTTCTTGTTGATTTTTCACTCAAAGCATTTTTTTGGCATTTTTCTCCCTAAAGCCCTACATATTTTGCTTCACAGCAACCTTTCTCCTCCTGCACTACAATAGCTATGTTCAGATATACAATTGTGCTAAAGCTGTGTAGGCTACCCACAAATCATAAACTTTTCTTTCTTTTTTTGAAATCTAGAAAGTCACAGCAGAAATGGCAGAATTTCTGCAGAAGTTGCGGCAGAAGGTGAGAGTTGGAGTAGTAGGTGGTTCAGACTTTGAAAAAATTAAAGAACAGCTGGGAGATGATGGTAAGGAAGAGATGAGATGGTCCAGGTTGATAAATGTGTTGCGTATGAGGAAGTTCTGACACCTTAAATTAAACCTTTTTTCTTCCTTCTTCTTTGTAGTACGCAAATCTCATGAAGTGTTCACTATTCACAGTCAGTGTGTGATTGCTTGATTTAAAACTATTGACCGCAGTGGGTTAGATTAAAAGTCTCCCAAGTACTTGTACTTTACACAGGAAGATTCAGTCTTATACCCTTTGGTTGCTACATGCAGTGAAGTTCTGACTTCACACTAGTAATGTAGAACAGTAGCGTAACTAGCTTGCCCTGCATGCCAAGTTAGGGTGCCAGAATCTCCTTGCATCCCTGCAGAGTCCATGGCCTGGCAGCACTGCCACACTGGGAACTCTGAAGCAGTTCCTGACTGCTGTTGCTGTAAGGGCAAGAGAGCCAGGGGAGGAAGAGCATGTGTACAACAGCAACCCAGCTGGGACTGTTCAGACATTTCCAGTGTTGGTGAGGCTGCTGCTCCCTTGCCTCCCTGCTCTTGGACCTGCGCACCTCCTGCCCTGGCTCTTGGGACCTATGCCCCTTGCCCCCACTCGCTAATCTGTGTGCTCCCCACCCCCAGAACTCCATGCTTACCTTGCCTGTCTCCCCACCCCTCTCCCCCATTCCTGCAGGGTTTGCCTTGTATGACAACTTGGCTTGTTATGCCGTTGTGTTAGAATACTAATTTTTAGTTTGTCTCTAATGCAGTTTTGCATATTGCCTTTGATATAGGTTGCTAAACTATGTGTTTATGGAAAAGATGATTTTACTAGCCAAGTGGTCACATAAGGTAGCTTGTTCCAAGCCCTTGGTTGGAAACTTTCATTTTTAATGTGAAAGAACTGTATTAATAGCCATAGGCTCAGTGTAAGCAGCAACTGTTTTTTATAACCCTGCATTTACTTGGCTTAGAAGTGGCTTCTATTTAAACCTACATTATAGCAAGTTCTTACATTATCTACAGTAGTTGATTACTTCTTTACTCTCATTCTGAATGGTTGTAATCAAGGATTTTGAATTTGTAATCTGGGATTTTGAAAATGTGGGTGCAAATGATGTAGCACATCACTGCATGTAACGTTTCACATTTTTCTTCATTTAAACTACAAGATTTACTAATATGCTAGAGGCCTAGCACTATGGTATTCAGTTTAAGATCAAAACAAAAGCAAATATAACTTTATTGGAATAACTTTATTGATGAATGTGTCAATTTGCTAGATTATATGTAAAGTTTAAAAAATACAATAGTAGAAATTAATCTTTTGTTCTATAGATCTTATTTTAGCATCACTTATGCTTAATGTAAAAATACTCTGGTATATGATATGTAAAAGTATTTACGACAAAAACGTGGAAGTTTGAGCGAAGACAAATAAATTACAACAGAGTTTTTGTTTGTTTCAGTGGTTGAAAAGTTTGACTACGTCTTCCCAGAAAATGGTCTTGTAGCATACAAAGATGGGAAACTGTTGTGCAAGCAGGTATATTTGAAGTTCCTATAAACTGTCAGACAGTGTAGTCTTTAGATACATTTTCAAATAGTATTCTACTCTTAAGATATAAAAAAAATGCAAAATCTTGTTTTGCAGTTGCAATTTTCATTTATCATCTTTTTGCTAGTCTGAAATTCTTCTTTTACGTGTATAATTGACCATCCATCTCAATCTTTTAAATGTGTAGATTTGATACAAGGCAGAGGGTCAGATTCTCACATTATGATTTCTTTGTGCTACTCTGGAAGTATAAAGCAATCGGGTATGTGGCATGTCTGGTCAATGAGTTCCCATGATAGAAAAATCCCTGAGTGGCATCTTGCCTACCCTAGAGCATAGAGAACATGACAAGAACCCTTTAAGAATCCCCAACGTGTGGAATTTCCACAATAGTACGGCCGTATGGAATAACCTTGAAGCTGTTCTGCAATGTGTCGGAGGAAGCGAAAGAGGTTTTAGGATTGGGAAGTTGTAAATGTGCTTCTGAACTCCCTTTACTTGTTGTTCTTGAAGTGCATGGAGTATATTGCAACTGCACAGAGTGGATTAGTGGATGAGAAAACACGGTTGATTAAATCTGATCTGATCACTTTCATTGCCTCAACCTAGGTAAAGAAGAGAAGAAAAAAAAATAGATCATGACCCAAACTGAAACCTAAGGCAGTGGTTTTGAGACTTAAACAATCTTCTCTATTTCCCCCATTTAATTTGGCTGTATTGGTGGTTATGCGCCAGTTACCTTTTAAACCTTCGTTCTCTAAACCATGGTGTTTATGAAGTGTCTGGAAGAGTGTGTTACAGTGACTTGGGTTGCACAGAAGCAACTGGAGTGAATGGAAGTTTACAGCCAGTGCTATACACCTACTGGTTAAGATCAGCTGCTTAACTGCATGTTTTTTTAGTATCTTGTGTACATTTAAGACCTGTGTTTGTCTATTTTTGGAAACCTGAACTCTGGAGCTATAGCTAACAGGTATTTTTTTTGTTTAGAGCATTCAGAATCATATGGGTGAGGACATACTCCAAGAACTAATCAACTATTGTCTTAGTTACATTGCAAAGATTAAACTACCAAAGAAAAGGTGTGTATTTAGATGCAGTGCATTTTAGGGCCAGCCTGTTCCCTTTCTTACTGTCTTGGGCAGTGATAAGGAAAGCACGTCAGCTCAGTTCTGTGTTTCAGAACATACCATAAAGCTGTGACAGAAGTCTTCTAGTAATCCCCTAAATGGAAAGATAAAACTCCCTTATTTAAGCAGATGAAAATGGATCAAGGAAGAAATTTTTGTCCGAAGATGTTATGTTGTTGGGAATTAACTGCCCTATTAAAAAATCCAGAAAAACAGCATTTCAAAATTCAGAGGCATCATGGCTTCTATAGACTAGAACAAGGGTGGGCAAGATACAGCCCACAGGCGGGATCCGGCCCGCAAGGCAATTTCATCCGACCTGCAGGTGCCCACCAATTAATTGTACCTTGGCCAGCCCGCATGCCTTGCAGGTTTTCTGCTGGATTTCTGGTGGTCTACACCGGTGGAATGGGGTGGGACTGAGCATCTTGCACATGGTCTTTCAGGAGAGGTTAAACTAAGGTCTTGAGTAATTACTAGGGAATCTTTGTAAATTGTGAGGTAAGTACCATTCCCCCACAGCTCCTTCCATTTTTTTCATTTCAATGCTCTTTC